CATGTGATCAGCTGCCTCTGAGCTCTAATTTATCCATGTCGGCATGGTTGTCACCAAGTGTGTGCTTGATATACCCGAGCACCGTTTTATGTGCGTGTTTGCTCGATTGCTTTGGTCGTGTACGATGAAAGCACCCTGGATTGTCATGTCGCATGTTTCAATATTCTCCGTTGAACGTGGTTGTCACGTATCTGGCTTTGTTTAGATTCACATCTCTAACAGCTGATAGGGTCGCTCGTAATCGCACAAAATTACATTGGAATGCCCGTATTTCTGGCGTTCATTAAGTCCAATAGTTCACCGATGGTTGTGTGTACGGTTATCTAACAATTGGATATCAACAAACTTTATTTGTTTGATACAATTCCTCCATCCCTTGATATCACCTGTTCTCCTCAAATACATCCCCCTCAGTTGGCTCTAGAATTTTTGTTCAGTAATTGTTTCGACCATTGATTGGTATGGCTATTGAAAATGGTTTAAAACCTTTTTAGTTAGCGTGCTTTCGTCAAACCTTCTAACTGAAGAATATAACAGTGTTTTTGCCACACGTGTTTCTTTACCATTTGGCTAGGAGTAAACACAACAGCTTCTTTTAATGACACAACTAAGGCATCTTGAGAAACTCTACCTACGCTCCTTAGACAAGATTTCATTTCAGAATGTGACACCATTTTTTCCTGTGGGGAAGGAAGTCTGTCAGTTGGATCTGTAGTAATTCTTTCCAGTCAAATAATACTATGATTTAAAAACATTACTCATATACCTATTTTTGTACATGTTCAAACCCCCAACAAAACGGTATCTCTAATACATGTAATAAGCCAACCTTTCATTTAGCACGGGTAAACTTTTTCGTGACTAGTCGATGCCCGAGACAGGTTAGTTTTAAATTTGCTCGAGGCCGCATCGACAGTAGTTCCCAGTCATCTCTTCCACACTCTCATACACCCATCTCCCATACTTTGGCGTTGTCTTTCATTGAATGGAGTGCTCAAAAAATCTGTTTGTTGTTTAGTGCCAACATCTAGTCAAAGCCTCATTTTCCAAGTTCACCTAGATGTCTTTATGTACTATTCAGTCTAGGTTTCACCATAATAGACTCGACCTGCTCCCAGGCAGCATCTTTTCTGGATTGTGATACACCATGCGCTATGTTGCAGCCGTTTTCCGACTATTTGAATGTTAGTATAACTATGTTCGGTGTGTTTCACACCATAGTGTAACATTTTTCTGGGTTGGCTTGGCTTTAATCGCTAACTTACTAACAGAGGAGGCGATACAAAACATGAACCACTTGGATTTCTATGTATGATTCGCAACCCCTGTTATCTGTTCTTTTCCGTCTCTTGATTCAATATCACATCGTTTCGATTGTCTGCTATGTTCTCTTGTAAGTCTAGCTGAGTGTGTGCGCACGCGCTCGTGTTCCGGTGTTTTTTTCCCTTTCAACATTACACCGGAACCATTGAGGTCAATTTTCTTCATTGCAATGTACCCATTGTTGCGGATAAACGCAATTAGGATTTTGGAGTAAACAACAGTATGCGCAGTTCTCTTGCGCCATTCATCCGTTATCAAATACAAAACAGGTATGTTCGACGAGGAGGGGCGAGGGAGTGCGGGGTGAATGATACATTTGCTCCACGTTTTGTGGTGCCATACACGTTTGATTTGTCCTGACCAGCGAGATTTATGTATGTTAATTAGAAAAATGTTGAACTTTTAGATGTCATGCCGTAAATTGTGCAATGGCGTTTCAGATTTTTTAATCGGAACAGTTAAACTTTAACCGCAGATTGCTTATTTGTGACAATCTTTTTTACATTCAATTCTTACCAGATACTGATCCACCTCCAGGTAACTAATAATAACGGAATTTGGGGTTGTGTATTAATAATGTCCTCGAGCTAAGTGTTGTAAAATGTATCGGTCATATGTGGCACATTTGCATACCCTTCTTGATTGGTAATTGAAGCAACTGGAGCGAGAACAACCTTCAGCGAAGACAAGCGTTATACTGTTGGACAATTAAGCTGCACCGATCCTCTACTTCATGTGAAATCAATACTTTTTCATTCAGAATTTGTAGCTGCATTTCATTCAACTGTGATACTTGATTAGTAAGTACCGTGATCAGGAGTACGAACATCTTAAGCCGTAATACTTGACATCGCACTAGGCTAACTGTAATACTGAGCTGGGACCCAGCAAATCTGTCTGATAACGGAATAAAGTTTGAATCGCGATGCTCGCGAATAAATCTAAGCCTTTGAATATGGTTCGAAAAAGGCTTACGATCACTGCTTACTGGTGTAAGAAAAATCGAATCGGATTCATCATTATTGTTTGAAGGAATGACAAACAAATTCGTTTGAATTATGGTGGAAGCGAGCTCTGTCAACCATGTATTAGCGGTCGTGGTAATCGAACACGATTGTGCTAGACTATAGCACATCGAGCAACTGGTCGCCATTTTATTGATACACTGAATTGTAATGCAAAGCGTAGTTCTGCAGTGCTGTTCGGCTTTTCACCTTATGAATTTAACTTCAAGTAAAATCATCGTCGTTTAAAGTGACAACGTTTGGAGTACCCTCGCGTGCAGTAGAATACGTGTGAGAATGATGATGTTTCTTGTTTGCAAAGGTGCTTCATGCCTAAGCTAATGAAACCGTTTCCATCTTCATGATATGATATGACATGGGTTAATTTTTCTGCTTGATCCTGACAGGGTTTGGGGTATTCGCACTGCTGATTGCAACGGTCATTCAGTATTGTCCTACCATCCTACAAGATATATTTTCCACTTCGAATCACAGATGCTGATGTTCATCGATCAGATATCTGACCGTGATGTGTTTTCACTTCCGCATTCGTTGCCAACTATTGAGAACTCTGCGCTTCATGGTGATGATTTAATAGTTAAGTAGTCTCCGCTGGGCAAACACAATCAAAATCCAGATAGAGATGCCTGGGGAAAATTCTCTGAAATAGTGCTCTTGCCTCATCTTGCCTTCATATCTGAACACTCAGAAACGTTTTCTAGAATAGCATAATTTTCATTTAAATCACCTTGCAAGAATGTCATATTTTGCCCTTTTTGTGATTTGTAGGATTGCAAATCGATTTGTTAGAGACGGGCAATGGCTGGTTCCCTCCATTCTCTTTTCTGCGCTCCATTTTTACAGGTTAAAACAAATTTGTTACCCCCGAAGTAAATTGATCGAACATCAACGTCTTTCAAAGCGTGCTTTCGGTTGGATCATACTGGCCGAAGCTCCGAATTTAGACCAACTAATCCGGCGACATCGCATGCTAAGCCTGACGACTGCAGAACGACTCGGCCTAACTCCGTCTCCTGAACCATGTTCATCTCACGCGAATAATCGTTTCGGTATGTTCGAAATATTGTTGCCGAATTGATCTAACGACTGTTCTTGTTTTCATTACGGCTTTTNNNCCAATTTGAAACAATACTGCTCATTGGTTCCGTGATTTGCACAGTCAGTGTCCGTGGCAGTCCAATGTTTACTGTTGCATTCTTCCTGGTTCGCAATACCCATGCTTTCTTGATCATCGTCAGACATCTAATCTCGGTTCCAGAATATGGGTTTCTATGTTTCTGTTTTTTTTGGAACTTCATCACTTACTTATGGTTGAGATAAATGTGAACTAATCGACCGATAGATCGATTGACTTGCTGAACAATCTGTACACATATAAATGATAATGGCAAGTATGCTTTATAATTCCTTTGCCTACATTGAACGTACAAGTATGCAATCAATTTGCGCGCAGAAAGAGGTTAATCATGGCTTATGTGGTGAAATACAAGAATGATTGAGATGCTAGGATGAGTTCACAATCTTCAGACTACGCTCATGATGGCCGCAGTCGTTTAACCAACAACAAGCTTCAAAACTCAAAATCCCGACGACACAGTAACTGGATTTCAGAACAGTTACCAAAATGATTCGGATGTACTCGATACCACTTTGAAGGTCCAACTTTCAAGTTGTCAAATCCAATATCAATCAGGGTCCCCACTGTTTGTAATTAAATAAGCTTGATAATCATATGAAAACACTCAAGTTCTGCCTAGTCGGTGATCGAGTGTTTTTATTGCAATTAGGTTCATTGTCTACTCCCCTGTCACCCCTGAGCTCATACCCTGTATCCCTATCTTCCTCCTCATCGATACCATCACTGTCCGGGCAAATAAAATCAAGGCTCGGTCTTTTGCCTATCATTTTAATCCAAAACGTCCCGCTTTACATATACCTGTGCCGATGGTGTCGCTCTATAGTTGCTCTAGCGTCCTTCTTTCTCCACTTTTACCAGCATCATCGTCATTGGCCAGTGCTCGCTACTGACCACTTCATCTCACTCTGGCATCAGGTTTAACTTCGATCGAAATATTTGCAACGCATGCAAAGTTTACGCCGTTCGTTTTTATTCTCATTCAACTAACAAATGGAGATATATTCATCTTCAAAATAGAGCTTACAATGGTATCAGTTTCAGTTTGAACAACCGTTAACCACGCATATTCCAGCGCCGGTTTTGGTTGCTGTCTTTTGGCCGCCCATTTGGATGAAGAATAGGAGAAGAAA